CTTTTTTCCTTGGCTTTTGGCACAATTTGAGAGGTTTTACTTTGTTTTAATCTTTTTGTATACTAATATGTATTTTACACTCGTTTTTTCTCTATTTTGTAATTTTATTGTATTTTATGATTGTGTTCAGCACTTTGGTCCTGTCCAGTGTATAAAGTGCTTCATAAATAAAGTTGGTATGGTATGGTATAAACCTGCAAAACATCTATTTTTATGTCCAATTTGAAACACTTTTACAGAGTTGTGTCTCTAATCTAAAACATTATGATCAGATAGCGTTAGATATTAGTTTAGTAGGATACTGCCCAGGTGAGAAAAATGATAAATGTTGAATAATAATAAGAGGAGGTCTTGGATTCTCATCCTGCAGTTGCTCTTCAGTTTATACTGACAAGCCTGAGACTTCCAAAGTAAAGGGCTCACTTTGTTGTGAGTGATACAGCAAGTTTTCTTATTTCCCCTTTCCTAGTCCTGCACTTTGATCTGTTCCCCTTTGAGGATACAGTTGATATGGGAATAGCTGTTCATAGGCAGCTGCTGCATGCCCACGGTCTTGCTCAGCTTAATCTGTCAATATGTGTCACAATAAAGACTTCCCTCACTTTACTGATGTCGATTCAGAAAAAAAGAAAAGTTGAGTTAAAGTTCTTTTCTCCCACAAGGTTATCTTTTGCTTTTAGAGGAATGGTTCATGAAACAAAAATAACTCAACTTTATTTATAAAGCCCTTTAAAACAACCACAGCTGCCTTAAAGTGTTGTACATACCAGATAAACTTAAAAATGTATAAAAAACAACATGGAAGTGTAAAGGAATAAAACAACTATAATAAAATAAATCAATTAAAACTTTTAAAACCATGTAAAAACTATAAAACAAACCACAAATGCAAAAGCAAAGATTCTCATGCTGTGTTAAAAGCCAAATAATAAAAATAGTTTTTAGGTTTTAAGGTTTTTAAGTTTTAGGGAGATAAATTAAAAAAGGGAACATTCTCCAGGAAGTTAACAAACATCTTTTGAGCAAAGTAAAATAAGTTGTCACCTCCTCCAGTGGCAGATTGCATTGCATGCAGATGCATTTACTTATCAATAACTGACTGTTTTACCTTTATTTTAACTTATTGTAAATATATTAATTCAAATACATTTTAATAGATTATCTTAAATACAGTATAGGAAATATTGTTTTTTCTATGCCACTGGGAACAGTAGCTATTCATCCACTGTTATAAAATAATTCAGACACAGTTTCTTCTAAAACAGTTTGCAAGATGTATTAAGTTCTTGTGGAGTAGAACAAATCACATTAACTAGGGAGGCAACCCCCCAGTCCATGAATAAATCTGTTTCCATCTCCTAAAAGTCAGACCTTGTCTGATGTAATTTTTCAGCTTTCAGAGAAAGTTTTCAAACTGTCAAGAACAGCTCTGCTATGGGGAAGGTAAAAAAATAAACTTGGAACAAAGCACCACAGGGATTGGAGACTGCAGATCTTAAGCAGTATAAAATTGAACAGAGCTGCTAGAAAACTAACAAAAAAACCTAAAAAATCATAATCAATGTCTCTACATAAAAAAACAGAGTTGCATTGTATTACAAAAACATTCAATAAAACCCAGATCCTTGTCAGTGAATATATGTATTGGATTTCTTACCACTTGTGGCCACTTGCCCTCAGGTCTGCATACTTTCCTGTCGTTTCTTTTATCTTTAAAATTGTCAAAAAGCATCTTAACCTTAAATGTTGAGATTTGGCTGAGTTTTCTACAAAGGTGGTGCATGTGATCCAAGTTACTGTAGTATTTATTTAAATATGCTTAATATTCTCTGCATGGTCATCATTTAAATAAATCTGAAGAATTTTAACAAGCTATTCAAAGCAAATCCATTTTTTTATGTTATTTATAAGGTCCTGCAAGGGACATACGATGCAGTTCCATTAACCATCAATGTGAGCAAATCATAATAATGAAAATAAATTGACTAAATGGAATTTGTGCAATTTTGAAAAAGCAAAAAAAAAAAACAAATTGTTTGATTTCACAAAACTGCAATGGAAACACTTTTCCTCATCACATATGCAGCTGGACCTTACTGCCTTGTAAAAAGACAAAGAAGAATAGTGGAAGATTTTGATTCATATTTTATATTTAGTTTGTGACGATGAGTTTAATGAGCACTAAAACCGTGGCTGAAATACGGATACATCTCCTCTGTTTACAGCCGACGCTGCCAAATACCGCAAATGCATTTTCAAAACGAGCAGAATATCAACATAGTTTTGCACGGCTTTGTAATCTAAACGCATCTATTGAAAACCCTGCTAAGGCAGGTGGGAAGACATCTCTGGCTTAAGGTGTTGTCAGTGGCACAGTTCCTCTCTAATCCAAGTTGAAATACTCCTTATGAACATTTAATGAGATTTGATCATGATGTGCTAATTGGAAAAGTGAATGCCTGGCACAAGGGTAATTGTACCAAGATCTTGATTTGCATAAAAAATATGGATGAACAAAGTAAGTATAAAGACATTGTTTGACAGATATATGCCTGCCACAATTTTATATTAGTGTTTCTCAATTTGATTAGTAATTAAAAGCCATTATATTTTCTCTGAAATCCAGAAAAGACTGAATTAAATGGTTGATTTTTTTTTTTATCTCGTGAGGTTAGAAATCAGCATCCAAATTGACTTAAAATTCCTAAAAGCTACAGACCTCTTTGATGATGTAGACCAGCCCTAGATTCTTATATTCACACCTCTTATTAAAGCAGTCTACAATTTATCTAAACCAAACAACAGACATTAAAACTTTTTATAAAAAACTTTGGAAAATGTGATGTGGTGATAGAAGACCAGGTCAAATGTCTTTATATATGATGTATGGGCAAAGAGACATGTGGTTATGAGCACAAAAAATGCAGATAATTTAGGGCTTTTTGATTCCTGGACAATTTTATCCTATTTAGAAGCCGGTGAGAATCCCTTTCCTTTACGAAGACCTCTGATTATGTCTCGTAGAGTGGTAATAACTATGATAATAACACAGGAAAAATCACAGAGGGTTGACTAGGGTTAGGTTAAGCCTATTGAGTGGCCTAGCTAATGAATAAACCTAAGTCCTACAGACACTTTTTGCCAAAAAAATGTTTCCCTCTTCTCTTGCCAAGTTAACAAATGAAAATGAGACTTTAAGGTTAGTCTCAATTTGTGTTTGTCTGTCAGTTAAAGACTTGTTATATCAATTTATACCCCCCTAAAGAAGTGTTTTTCTAAATGCTAAATTTCATGTTCTAATGTACAAATGTTCTTTCAAATGTTCTTTCTTTTCACTTCAAAATCAAAAATACTAATTAAAAAAAGTTTTTTTGTTTTTTTGCAAGTGGCGAAAGTGAAAAGCATCAGTTAGAAATAAAACCAGGAAAATCATAGAATAGAGGAAATGTCCTGGAAAAGCAGGACTTGATTGATGGAGGATCGGATGGAGGCTCTGGTAGAGAAGGGTAAACTGTCACTGTAAGCTGCACATCTGTAAGCAGATGTGCTCCACACTGATATTTCTCAAACTTTATTCAGCAGGCTAACGACTGTGTTGGACTTAAAACTGCCACGTGCATTATCCATGTATGGAGGCCTTAGTCCTTGACGCGGGCAACCTGTGTTTGAATCCAACCTGTGGTCCTTTGCAACATGTCTCTCCATCTCTCTCATGCCCCCTTTCCTTTCAGCGGTCAGAAAAATGAACAATTAGTGCCGTAAAAACCTAAAAAAAAAACAAAACTTCAATGTAGTAACCCTCATTGATTATTAACTTTTAGCGTAGCCTAAACCGCCAAATCTCTCGGCCCAATTTTTTGGGGATTTTTGTACGCAGAAGTGGCGCTAACACTCTCCGGTTTGGTAAAAACCTGGTGACCAACCAGGTAAAAAAAATACATGTGTCATGCTCTTTTCTCTAATTAGACTAACTGAATTGATTGATATGGGTGTAAATAATGACTTCCCCCCCTGTAATTTTAGTCTATGTGTTTTTTTGTGTTTCCCATGACTTCTCCAATGTCCTCCATCAAGTTCTTCTATTATTTAACTACCCAGCACCAAACATTACCAACCACAATTATTAAAATTGTTCACTTTGCCTTTTCCTCATTTTCACATCAAACTGTCACCATTTCCTGCCATTAAAATGTAAAGTTTGCAGCACTATAAAAACTTAGAATTTTTTTTTGGTAAGCCAGTTTCCCTCTCCTGCAATTTGCCTGCATGCAGGTATTTTGTCTCCTCGGCTTCATGAGTTGTCAGAGCTGCCATCACTCTAAGCAAACAACACAGCTCAGGAAGGACATTTTCAGTTTATCCTTTTTTGGAGTAAAACATTTCTACTTTTAATGCCTGGTAATGCACACTTTTTTAACCAATTGTTGAGTTAAAAGGAAGCAAAAATGCTGTTAGGATATGTTTTTATATAACTTGATGCTTTTTATTCTATTTATATTGAATAGGGACATTATTATTTCAGTATTGAATTGCTGCCCTCCGAGATTGTCTTCACAGCACAAACACAGCCTGCACGTTCTGACAGTTTGACACTTTAATTTTCAACAAAGTGTTTCACCTGAATTTCCCTGATAAAGTGGAACAGACTGCCCTCATAAATATATGTATTCTGAGTTGGAAAATATTGCTCCCTGTCTTTCTTCCTCCATCCCTCTCTGTCTCTCCGATGAACACAATGAGCACCTTACCGCCAGAGTAGAAGCTACTCCAGTGTGAAACAAAATAAGCTTATTTTCCCTGTCATAACCTGTTTCTTGTTTATTTAGCTTTTGTTTTATTTCCTTTAAAGGTTTTATACTTGTATTTAATGTCTGTATACTATATGCATGAGACCAAAGTCAGATTTCTTGCTTTTGAAAGCAATCTAGACCAAAAAAAAAGTGATTCCTATCCTGATTACTTTTCTCAGTCCATGTAAGTTTTTTTGTGGGTTTTTTTAGGTTTGGAAAGAGCAAGAAGGACGAGGACCGGATTGAGAGGAAGAACTCAAGAAGTTCTAGACCTGAGGAAGTCCAGGCAAATGAAGATGAGACTGTCCAAATGAAGCAGGAACAAGAAAGGTAAAACACAATGCTATTTGTTAATATCCAAAAATGATTAGGCGTTGCCTGAAAGTAAGAAAAAAAAATCAAAAGTAGCGAGGTTGCTTGAACCAGCAAAACATAATTTACCAAAATCAGTTTTCTTAGGAGGCTTTGTATAATTACATGGCCAATAATTACCTGGTGGTTAAAGTCAATTAAACTAACCGACCAGATCCAAACCTCACAGCCATAACATGAAGGCTGCAGGTTCTGTGTAATAATCATAAACTGAAATGTGCATGTTGAAAATAATAGCCATATGGAGTTCAATCAATAAGGTCATCTATACTGTCAAACAGAAAATGTGAAACAGATGGCCTTTATTTAAGTATTGAAGCAGCAGCATGTTATAATTGTTTTAGTGCAGCCTTTCTCAAATCAGGAACTTACAGGATGTCAGCGTGGAATCCAACCACGATGTATGAAATCTGTTTGAATCACAGAATTTCATTATTTTTAAACATTGGTAATCCTTGCATTTGATAAACCAAGTGGCCAAAGATCAAGTGCCATGTAATAGTCTCCTTTTAGCAATGTTTACAGTGAATAGTGGTGACAGAGATCATGTCCTGCTAGCTGATTGATTGATTGATAGACTTTATTATATATATATATATATATATATATATATATATATATATATATATATATATATATATATATATATATATATATATATATTTTAGTGGTTTGCTTATGAAGCAGGAATATAGTTCTATAGTAAGATTTATAAGCAATTTTGAACTGTCGTGATCCAAATGATCAACCAGAGCATGACATCACAGACAGATCACAGAGTTATTAATTTATATAAAAAACAACTAAAGTTAACCTTTGAAGGAGCTTGACTTGAACATTTAGGGTCCATTAAATGTGGCTTATTTTTCCATTTAGCTGCTAAAAGGATCACTTTAACCATTTGATTCGTTGTTTTATTTTTTTTTTTTATATAATTTATTTTTATATATACACTACCGTTCAAAAGTTTGGGGTCACATTGAAATTTCCTCATTTTTGAAGGAAAAGCACTGTACTTTTCAATGAAGATAACTTTAAACTAGACTTAAAGGGATAGTTCGGTATTTTTGACATGAATCTGTATGGCA